GGCGAGTGTGAGCCTCTTTATTTATATATATATATATATATATATATATATATATATATATATATATATATATATATATATATATATATATATATATATATATATATATATATATATATATATATATATATATATATATATATATATATATATATATATATATATATATATATATATATATTTGTTGTCCTTTTTTTTATTTTAGGTCTCAAGATTTTCGAAAAGAGTTAAGGACATTTAGAATTGCTTCTAGTTATTTTATTTTATGATTTTTTTTTTTCATTTTGGCCTCGGATGCATTTTTTAGTATAATTAATTAAGGATTAAATATTTGCAATATTAAGCTTTATTTGTTTTAATGAATAGACTATGATTTTTTTTTTTTAAGCTTATTTTGATTTTAAATGAATAGTCTAGATTTTTCGCTTAGACTGCGAAGTTTTTTTTTTGTTTTTCTTTAATATGTCGACTGCAAAGTTGTAAAATATGTAATTTGTTTATTGCTCGATATAAGCCCGATATAAACCCGAAGCCCGAAAAAACGCGTGAGCCGAGTTTGAGCCTATAGGCATGAGGCCCGATGGTATTTGAGCTTGAGCCTATAATAATGAGGCCCGATGGTATATGAGCTTGAGCCGACCCAGGCTCGGCTCACACGGCCCGATTGCCAGCCCTACAAAGAAATAGTCGACCAACTTTTGCTTTGCATGTAAATTAAAGAAATGTACGGCAAAAAAAGATTTAAGGTTTCCCAAATTTAAAAAAATTAAAAATTAAAAATTAAAAATTGACACCACAACAACTTTGTGGGGGAGTAAATTGATTATTTAATTTTCCTAATGCAATTCATTTTCGATATTTGGTATTGGTCGTACTTCCCATCTATAAGCTTTTGATAAAGGAAAAAAAGGGAAGTGATAGGTTTAAATTTTAATCATATTTGAACTTAAAATGTAAAATGTAAAATGTAGAATGAACGTAAATAAGAAAAATATTTGACCATAGGGTAAATTACGTCTAACCCCTTACGATAAGGTTAAATTATGAAGAAAAAAAACCCCTTATGTTTAAGTAATTACAACCACCTCTCAACTATGAATCTTCTTATATGCCCATCACTGCGATGTCAAATTTAGTGGAATCTTCTAGATTATGTGGAATATTCTCCAGTTTGTACCCGTTTTACTCAATTTCAGCTCCACATTTTGAAACAAGATGATTATAAGATGTGTCTTTTGGGTTGTATATATTAGATTGTGGTGAATTAGAAACTGCATTTTGCACAAAACGAGTACAAACTAGAGAACATTCCACGAAATCTAGAAGATTCAGTTGAATTTGATACCATAAAGGGGAATGTATAATAAGATTGATAGTTGATGCAGTGATTGTAATTATATAAACATGATGGGGGTTTTTCGTAATTTGACCTTAACTCATGGGGTAACCGTAATTTACCCTTGATCGTATGCTAAATTAAGCCCAAAATAGGTAACCGTGTGCCTGCAGAGTATAGTAACCAAAATGACAACCTATGCCAAAACGCGGAGAATTAGGTGGATCTCTCTCTATTTTATATATATATATATATATATATATATATATATATATATATATATATATATATATATATATAAAACTGTTCTTTGATTAATAGAAAAAAAAAAGCAGCAAATGAAACTAAAAGGTTTTACCTTTTTGATAATTATGGTGATGTTTTGAGGTATTTTCTGTATATAGCTTATGCTGCAAATCGTAGGTCGAATATATTCTATTGTCTTTATGCTGTTATCATATCAAATTCACCCAGATATAAATTTGTGGTGTGAATCACATAAAATAGAAAAATTGGGATTGGCTATACAATGATCTAATTAAAGTAATTTCTTTTGAGTAATTTTGGATTCATACACGCGAGCGAGAGCAGATTTCTTGGATGCTACACTCAGTGAAACACGTCAATTAGCTCGGAGCAAATTTATTGGATGCTATACACTCAGTGAAACACGTCAATTAGCTGTCACCTTTAATTTACATTGTACAATTTATACCGTGTGTATAAAATACATATGGATAACATATGATTTAATAGTTGTTGACAACCCAACTATTATTATAAATAAAAAAAAAAAAAAAAAAACCGAACAAAGATGAAGGAATTTGTTGCTCCTCTGGTTTCCATTGTTGAAGTTGAATTTAAAAACAAAAAAATAATTATTTTAGTGGGCAATAATTAGGTTGAAACATGGAAATTGATTTGATAGCGCACCTTAGATCTATGTATGTATTTTCTTTTTTTTTAAGATTAATATTTAAAATTCCAATAAGTGTTCTTGTTACAGCATTTCTTTTCTTAAACTTTAATACATCGCTTATTTTCAGAATTTATTGTTAAAAATACCACAGGCTGAATATTTGATT